CAGGGCGAATAAACTAATATGTACACATGCAAACAGGCTATAAGCAATTTAGAAATATATTCTTACACTGATCATGGCACTCATGCCTTAGGGATTTCCCAAGGTGAGTTATGCTAACAGTAAGGCCAGCTTTCAGAGTGTACAGCCTGTGCAGTCACACAGTCCCCACACTTAATGAGTTCACTTGGCTTAATACTCTGCTATCACCATCTTGAAATTCTTAAATAATGTTTTGAATAAAAGGCCCCACATTTTCATTTTGCACTGGGCCCTGCAAATTTTGTAGTTGGTCCTGGCCAAAGCATTTTGGTGGACTGCTTATTAGAGATTAACTATCAAACGTATGTCTTTTCGTGTGTTTGTTTGTTGGTATTCAATAACTACCTAAATTCAATAAAGTGACTGACTGATTCTCCAGTTCCAAACAATACACTCCTGCATAGCCTTTCTCTGGTCTCTGAAAGGTAAAGAGAGGCCATAACAACAACATGAGAGCTCTCAGGGCTAGCATCTTTCTGGTGTCAGACAGCTATTCAGGAAGCTGGGGAAACCTAATTACTATAATCACTTTGACATCTGGTTTAGCAGGAAGCTGGATTAAATGGCATAGAAAGTTTATTCTTTTATAGTCTTTTAATTCAAGAGTCTCTGTCATAGCTCTGATTCACTAAATTATTTCTCTCTCAAAGAAAGTCAATGGAATATTCTTCCTATGGTTCTCTTAACCATGGAGGTGGTTTCCAGAGTGCTTTTGCTCTGAGATGCATATACGTCTGAATTACATGGAGTTTTTATGGACAGCAGGGAGAAAGAATACTCATTTGGTTTATAAATATCAGCTGTGACTCAGATGCTATGCAAGTAAATATGGATAATGGATACATACATATTTTTTTATCCACAGTAATACTTTCTAACAAGCAGTTTCATGAGTTAATCCCTAAAGAACCAACTGATCCCACCATATTCTCCTCATACTTAAAGACCTAAATTATGTAACCAACGCAGGAGAAAATGTATTATGTCCTACTTGCCTCCTGGTATGCAAGTGGCAAATACTGACACATGTGCCACCATTCTCCCCTTGCATGATGGCAGGCATCTCCAACAGATCGTGGCACTCATTCCTGGACCACAAGGACTCAAAATCTTCCCATCACAATACTCCAGGTAGTCACTACCAATCAACTGGTGTTGACATGAAAGATGAAATTGCAGATTATATGTTTCACAACTCCCAAAATAAATATTCATACTCAAAAACAGCTAGGTACATCATGAAGCTCAATAAACCCCAGGTATAATAATTGTAGAGATAGATACCCAGACACATCATAGCCCAAATGCTGAAAGCCAAAGATAAAAAGAAACTGTTGAAAGAAGCAAGAAAATAACTTATGACTTACAAGGGAACCCCAATAACATTAATAGTTGACATCTAATCAGAAGCAATAGAGCCAGAGGGCAATAAGATAACATATTGAAAGTGTGGAAAGAAAAACAAACAAACAATAACTATCAACCAAGCATCTTTTATCTCATATCTTTCAAATATGAAGGTGAAATAAAGATACTAGCAGATAAACAAATGCTAAGATAATTAGTTGGTAGCAGTCCCACCTTACAAGAAATATTAAGTTCTTTAGGCTGAAAGCAAGTAATCCCTGACAGTAATTCAAATACACACGTCCACACACGAAACAATGAGCATCAATAAAGGTAATTGTGTAATTATAAAAGACAGTATAAATGCTTATTCTCCTTTGTTCTCTTAACTGATTTTAAAAGCAATCATATTTTTAAAGAGTATAACAATTGTATTGTTGGGCCTATAACATATACTAATTTAATATACTTGACAATAATAGCACAAAAGAGGTGGATGAGAGCAAAGCTGTATTGAAGTAAGGAAGTGGCACCAGATGGTAAATTGAATCACAGGAAAAAGTATAGAGAATCTGACATGGTAAAGAAAGAGATAAATATAAAAACTCTATAAATTTATACTTTCCTTTTTGCTGACATTTAGTAGGCATAAAATTATATAAAGTAATTATAACAGTATATTTTTAAGTTGGTATCATACATATATGTAATATGTGTGACAAAAATAGCAAAAAAAGAGGAAGAATAAATAGAGTTATGCATGCACAGCCTTCCTATATCTCATTGGACTAAATCTAAGTTGACTGATAAATTAAGATGTATGTGATAAGCCCTAGAGCAACCACTAAAAAATAACTATGAAAATATACTAAAAATCATTTTAAAAATTATACTGTTGCATTAGAAAGTATTCACTTGATGTAAAAAGCAAGCAATAAAGGAGGACTAGAGGGGAAAAATGAGACATTAAGAAACAAAAATAGAATGGCAGACATAAATCCAACTATATCAATAAAACATTAAATATCAATGAATTAAACTACTCAGCCAAAAGGTAGAGATTGTCACTTTGTATTAAAAAAAAAACAAACCAACTATGTTTTGTCTTCAGAAAGCACACTTTGGATCAAAAGATACAAATAGGTTGAAAGTAAAGGATATATCATGCAAACAGCAAAAATAAGAAAGCTAGAGTAGTTATACTAATATTAGACAAAATAGATGTTAAAATAAAAATTTTACTAGTGACAAAAAAATATTTTATAATGATTAAAGGATCAATCAGGAAGTTATGGCGATGATTAAAGGATCAATCAGGAAGATAAACAAGGAAATGAAAAACTTATAGAACACTGCTAACCAACAGACATCTATTAGCACCCTACCCAACAACAGTGGAATGCTTTCAACCACACATACAACGTTCTCCAGAAGAGACCATATGCTAGGGTATAAAATAATCCTCAGTAAATTTAAAAAGATTAAATTCATGCAAAGTGTGATTCTCTGATCATAATAGAGTGACATTAAGGACAAAAACAGAACAAGTTTGGAAAATTTACAAATATGTGTAAATTAAACAATACATTCCTAAATAACTATTTAGTCAAAGAAAAATATCACAAGGAAAATTAGAAAATACCTTCAGATGACTGAAAAACAAAACACAACATACCAAAACTTATGGGGTACAGATAAAGAAGAGCTTCAAAGAAAATGTATAGCTGTAAACATCTACATTAAAAAGAAAAAAGATCTCAAATCAAAATCTAGCCTTCTACTGTTAGAAAATAGAAAAGAAAGAGCAAACTACATCCAAAGCAAGCAGAAGCAAGGAAATAGTATACATACTATTTATGTAGAAATGCATAAAATAGAGAATAGGTATAACAATAGAGAAAGTGAGTAAAAAGCTGGTTCCTTGAAAACATCAACAAAATTTACAAACTTAGCTAGAATAACCAATAAAATAATAAAGAATACTCAAATTACTAAATTCAGGAATAAAAATCAGGCTTTATAGAAATAAAAAGATTATAAGGGAATACTATTGTATAAACAACTATCTGCCAACAAATTGGAAAACTTAGATGAAACGGGCAAATTCCTAGAAAGACACAAATTACAAAACAGACTCAAGAGCAAATAGAATTCTGTATACCGTATTTGCCGGCGTATAAGACGACTGGGCATATAAGACGACCCCCTAACATTTCCACTCAAAATACAGAGTTTGTTATATACTCGCCGTATAAGTCGGCTGTGTGCGATTTTGCGAGTGTGGTAAAATCGCATAACAGCAAAATCGCATAACAGCCGAGCATACACCCAGCAGCGCTGCTGATGCCTGAACGGTATGTGGAATGAAGTGGGCGGGCATCGGGAGGCCACTATGGCACGGGGCAAGCACTATGGGCAGTCTATCTGAAGTGTACCTGGCGTATAAGACGACTCCCCACTTGGAGGCATATTTTTCAGGGCCAAAAAATCGTCTTATACGCCGGCAAATACGGTAGATCTATATCAAACAAAGCGATTGAATTACTGATCAAAAATTACCCACCAAAAAAAGGCCCAGGCCCAGATGGCTCCACTGGTAAATTCTACCAAGTGTTTAAAGAAGAATTAATACCAATCCTTCACAAACTTTTCCAAAATATAGAAAAGAAAAAAACACTTTCCAACTCATTCTATGAAGCCAGTATGACCGAGATACAAAAGCAAACAAAAATGTCTCAAGGAAAAAACCTAAACATCAGTATCTCTTATGAATAGAGACACAAAACTCCTCAACAAAAAACTAGCAAACTATTGGGTTGTTGGAAAAGTCATGATGCATTTTTGCAACGAAAAACATGGAAAAAATACGTCATGACTTTTCTGACAACCCAATAAATCCAGCAACATAAAGAAACAATTATACACCATGATCAAATGGAATTTAGGCCAAGAATCTGAGGTTTGTTTGACATTTTAATATTAATTTATGTTTTAAAATTGATTATGGTGATGGTGCTCAACTCTGTAAATATGCTAAAACCATTAAACTGCACCCTTTAAATGGATGGATTTTATGGTATGTGAATTATATGTAAACAACAGTGCTATTTTTAAAACTTACAAAGGAGGACAGGAGAGGCAGAAAGAGACAAAACAATGGGAATAGGAAACAGAAGGAAAAAGGGAGGGGAGACTGTAAATTAGAATTAATAACAAAGAGGAATCCAGAGAGCTTGAGGAAAACACCAGGGGAGGAAGAGGAGCTGCTAACTTCATGGAACTTGCACAAGTCCTTTCTCTTTCTCTGTCTGTAAAATTATGAGTGAGACCCATCATATCAGCATTCTCAAGAATTTATGTTTCTCTGACATCTGCCCATCTCCAAGAGACTGAATGTTTGCACCAGTTATCTTCTCTGAGCTGCCATTATAAGATGGATTAAAAACAAGAACTCTGCTCAATCAGCCTGCCAGAACTTTCTACGCCCAGAACCCCTTCCCTACCAATTTCCCATTCCTTCAACCCTCTTTCCATCCCTTGACTTTCACTGCTCCCAAAGTTCATCCCCAAATTAAATTGTGGTCTCTAGAAAGCCCACCGTCAGTCCATCCTACCTGGAATCTCGCGTGTCTGGGATGGGACGATTGAGGGGTAACTGGTTACTGAGATAAGCATTGTAACCAAACTTCTGGAAGAGGTCCTGGGCCGTTTTCTGCTCAGCCTCAGAAAGATCCTCCCCCCACTGCTTGAAAAGCGGTGAGTCTGGGAAGAGTTTCTCTCTAGGTTTGTGCTTCTCCTTCTCACTCACTTTGGCTTCCACCTTCTCCAGTGTGTTGTCCACATTTTTTTGTTGCTTCATAGACAATTTCATAGTTTCTTCTGCAAATGAAGGCAAGACAAAACACACTTCAGCCAATCATTAGATACCTGGGTGTTGCTTTGCATTCATATTTCCTTGAAATGTTTTCCTTTCCTGTTTCTAAAATTTGCAGAGGATGTGATGGGGAAGTTGTCAGTCATGCCAGGCTGTCCTGGCATGGCGTGCCCTAGAACACACCTCTCCTTCCAGCTCTATCAGAACTTATCTAACCCGAGTCCCACGCCCTCAGAGCTCCTCCAGGAACTGTGATCTGAGAAATACCTACATTGACAATAAAGACCAAGAAACACATCAGAATCATCTGTTGTGATTATGTAAAAATGTAGATATCCAGGCTTATCCCCAAATCAATGAAATCAGAATCTCGGGGTCTGATAAGGGTAGGAGAAGAGGTCAAAATCTGCACTTTTAACAAAATCACTGAGTTATTCTTTTGTACTATAGACTTCGAGAAACACTGTACTATACACTATCAGTGGCTACCTCTTCCTGACTATGTGACCTTGGCCAGGGGACTTGTCTTCTTGTGCCTTAGGTTTACCAAGTACCTCAGAGAGTTGCTGTGATAACAACATGTATTAGTACCTGTAAAGTGCGTGGGGCCTGGCACACAATAAAGTTTGGCTATGATTCTGTTTTCTCTGGCTTCTCTGTTTCCTCTGCTGGCGGGCATGGGGAGAGGTGAGGAAGAGTATTGAGAAGAGTGGAAAACTTTAAAAAAATTGTTATGATAAGAAATAGAAGTGAGTACTGACTTGTGAGACACGGAAGCACTGAGGGTCGGGGAGAGGCAGGCTGAGGCGTAGCTCAGTGATGTCAATTTCCCCACAGTGCTCAGCACTTGAGTGAAGGTGCAAAGAACATGGGCAGTTGATCTCACACAATGTTGTGGGGGTCCTTAGGAGGATACAATAGAACAAGTGTGCAATGCAGTTGTGGATATTGGCAAGAGAAGTGTTGGAGAAATGCACTGTTACAGGGAAAACTGAATGCATATACTGCAGTCGTGAGACTGTGATCAACACAGGACAGCATACACTTGTCATTTCAGAGGTGAGTGCTTCTGGGTGATGACACAGTTTACGATGCACCTTAGAAGTGTTAGGTGGGCTGGAGGCAATGGACTTTACACATGAGAAGGCCAAGGTGTTGAATGGGTCATCCATAGGACACTCCAGTGGCCCAGGCTGATAGCAGCTTTTGTGGCAGAGACAACTGAGCCAGGAGCCATTGCAAAGTCTGTAATGAGTGAGAAAACTTGTCAGGCAGAAATGTTAGCAAAGAGAGCGCAGCCAGGTTTCCATAGTAAGGTAAAGGGCTATTACCATAACTGTCCAACTTGGACCAAACCTAGAATTGATTAGTATTTCCCAAGCCCAGCATTGATTATGAAACTCCCAAATGGTAATCGAGGCACTCCACAGTAGGGATCTACTTAGTTCCTACTAACCCTCCCCTAAACCCACACTAAATTCCAACCAGACTGATAAGATCACCATTAGTCCATCTATACCTTCCTTTAAGTTGAAAGAAAGCACAGCTTTTCTTCTGATAATGATAGCCCAGAGGCACCGGCTTGGCAGGGGACAGTCCCCTTGTGTGAATTTCCTCTAGTCAGATACAGCCTGGGGCCCCAGAACAGGGCCTGCTGAGCATAACATGGCTGAATGTCAGCTACATACACAGCCCCTTAAAGGGATGCAGGAAAGTCCCACTCCTGGGAGGAGGACACACTTGGAAGGTGGTATAAAAATGGTCCCATGAGGAAAATCAACTATGGAAGTGCTTAAAGCAAAAAGAGGCGGGTCGAAGCAAACTCGGAAAGAAAAACAAATGGCGTATCTTTCAAAGAGGACGCAAGTGAAGACTGTGTATATTCACTCAGGTAGGAAATAAAAGTGAGAGCAGAATTTTTATGTTATTCCAAATTGAATAGCATTTTTATTCAAACTCTTTTATACTAAGCATATGGGGGTCACAGGGTGGCCTTGGGCTCTCCATTCCTTTAAATTCCCCTGTGTTCTTCTTTGGGGAATATCTGGTTTTTCTCTTTTATTCATTGCTGTCAGTGGGAAATTGCTTGGATCTGGACACCCTAGAGTCGATTTGAGGATGTAAGTGCAGAGTCCAGCAGGATGGGCTAGTAGTGTCACTAGACCATCCCTATGCCTTAAAATGAAACTTACCAAGACCCAAGGGGGACACACCCAATGAATGGCACTGCCTGGTGGGACCTTTAAGAACCTCTGTGGAAATTCCAGAAAATTGGTGTAGAATCATTAACCCGTCCCGCAACAGAGATATCATTATCATTGTGTGTTTGCTTTTGCTCTGTGATGGTTTACATAATATGTCTACATATCCTTATTGACTTATGATTTTCTTCAATCTTCTTGGAGGCAATGAGCAACCAGGATGATTTGTGATTGAACAGGCTTTCAATTTCAGGAAGCCTATCAGGATAAAAATCATTTATGATCTGGAAACAGGGTCCAGAAGACACTTTGAAATTCATCTCAGGTGGTCAGGAGTCCCTGACGCCACATCATTTTAAAGTGAATAATGTGGAGAGCATCAAAAATAACAAGAAAAGGAGGAACTGGTCATTGCAAAGAGGGAAAGGGAAGTAAACCCCATGGCTCCAGAGGACTTCTCGAGGTGTACAGTGTTCCAGCTCAAGGAAAGGGACTGTAGGCAGAACCCCTGCTATGTAAGGCGCAAGGAGGCTGAGCCAGTAGGATGAGCCCTGGGGTTGGGTGAGAGTCCTGGTGTGGCCTGGTGTGCTCTGTCAAAGTGTGACTGCTCGAGTATACAGGCTCCTCTGCGAAGCTGCACTGAGCATATTTGCAAATTAATGTCAACCCGGTCAGATGGGCTCAAAGCCAGGGCTCTGGAGCTGATAATCCTCCTTTTGTTTCATCTACTCTCTTGTCCTATATCTCTTTTCCCTTCACCCCTGACTGTCTGTCCTCTGTCCTCTCCTTCCTACACTCATTCATTCATTTACTCATCCATGTAATTTCTCTGTGCCACGCACAGGGAAGAGAGTGGTAAGGCTCTCTAGGAGACTGTCATTGAACCAGCCATTAATGAAACTTGCCTTTCAGAAAATTGTACCATACAAAATGCGATGAGCCTCCTGAGGGGGAGTGTAGACGGTGCTAGGGTGCTTTGTGCCTCTTCTCTCACCCCCTCTCATGTTCCCTTTCTCTCTTGTCTCCAAATAAATGCTTTCATTCTCTTACCTTGGGCTCTCCTTTCTTTGCTCCTTCTCTGTCCACATCTCTTTGGTCCTCTTTGGTCCCCTTTCTCCCTCTCCCTTTCCCTAATTTCCTCTTCCTTTTTCTCTTCTTGTCTGTCCTTACATCTGTCCCTCTGTCTCACCCTGAACCAGGACAATGTTCTATTTTCATTTTAAAAGACACTTCCCCCAACTCCAGCCCTCACATGCACACACCCTCACATCTGTGCAGTCACTTCCCTGCTCACACATCCAACCTCCTTCAGGAGCACAAGCATTTGATCCTTGTCACTTGTGAGCAGGGGAAACATGGCTGCTTCTCCTCACTGGAGTCAGAGGCTGAGACACATAAAAATCATAAGGGATAGAGTTTCATGGTGAGCCAGAATCGAAAGCAAACCCAGATCTCATGTGAAGAGGCTAAAACTTGGTGGACCTTGAGGGCATTAAGCTAAGTGAAATAAGTCAGACAGAGAAAGACAAATACCATTTGGTTTCAATTATATGTGGAATAAAAAAACAAAACAAAACAAAACAAAAAAACAACCAATAACAACAACAAAAACACCAGAGAGAGAAAGAGAAAGAGAGAGAGAGAGAAAAGCTCATAGATACAGAGAGAAGATTGGTGGTTGCCAGAGGTAGGAATGAGGGATAGGTGAAATGAGTGAAGGGGGTCAAAAGGCACAACTTTCAGTTATAAAATAATTAAGTCCTACAGATATAACGTACAATATGGTGACTATAGTTACTAGTGCTGTACTACTGTATATTTGAAAGTTGATAAGAGAGTAGATCTTAGAGGTTCTTATCACAAGGAAAAAAATGTTTATAACTATGTGTGGTGATGGATGTTGGTTACACTTATCATGGTGGTCATTTCACAGTATTATAAAACTAATATACTATATGTCAATTATACCTCAATAAAAGAAAGAGGTTAAAATTTAATACACTTCAGTTCATAGAGCACCTTCTGCATATATTTCATAACCCTGTGACATGGAGATCTTCTTATCTCTGTTTACAGGTCAGGAGCCTTAGACTGAGAGGCTCCAGGTCACACAATAGTGATTATATCTGGATTTGATCTTAGGTCCTTACAACTCCCCACTGGTTCCTGATAGTATCTCACAGCAAAGTGGAAGTGAGGTTTGCCCCAGAGATTGTCACCTCTGTTTAACAGCCCTGTTAAACATGATGAGAGTGTGACCTCTCATTCATTTTTTTCTTCACACCCCTTTTTTCTAAGTGTCCATAAACACACACACACACACACACACGCACACACATGCACACACCATCCCTCCAAGTCAGTGTTATGAACTTACTCAGGTGCTGCAAATCCAACTCCAAGTGAGAGAGTCTCTTTATCACTGTCCCGTTCCATTCCGACAGTGGCAAATGAAGCTCCTTTTGGAGACTGCTCAGAATCAACCTTTGTAAAGTCGCTTTGGTATAAAATAATAGGAGGAGATTGCAGGCTATAACCAGAATCAGCCCAATGCAGAAAACTTTGCAGGCATTTTTCCTGAGCATCTTACTCTGTCTCCGGCTTTGCCACTCCCTGCGGGACTGAGCCTGTCACTGGCCACGCAGGCTGAGACGTGTCTCCGCCGGCCGCATAGATGACACCTTGCCTGCTGAACCAGATGTTCTCCGACTGGGAAAGCTGTCACAAGCTTCCTGGCTTTTCGCTGAGCAGCGTCAGGTGTGTGGGGTGTGCGATGGCAGCTGCCCAATGACCAGCAGCTTCCCTGGACACACCTTGCGCACTCTCGGAAGCCAGGTGAATGTTTGTTCCTGGAGCTAGCTCCGACTGCAGGGTGGGAGGCTTTTCTCTCTATATTCTGTTTCATTTGGTTTTGGTTTTAATGTTCCTTCTCCCTGGTGAAAATCTCCTGAGAAACTCTCTGACAGGGCATGTAAGGTCTGTTTCTCTGAGTATAGAAGAGGTAAATAGTACGAGTAAAGAACACATGAAGTGGGAAGTTTCTGTACCATACGCTTTTTGAGAGCAAGGATCACATCTCAGGTGCCTTTCCATCTAACTCTACAGGTCTTGAACATTGTAGATGTGCAATGAATGTTGATTCAACAAACTTGAGGAGAGATTTTTCTGCTGGTTCTATAAGAAGCAGGTGGATGAGCTGGAGGGAGCGCAGGGAGGTGAGCCTCAGGCGATGGCCCTGCCTCACTGATCTCTGCCCTCGGCCAGTCACCTGCACACACAGGTTCTGCCCTGCTCTGGCTTCCAGTAATGCTTCTGCGTCCACGCCTCACATTCACTATATGTTTTGGACAAGTCATCTAATTATCACCATTGTAGATTAAATGCTTAAAATTGTTCCCTCCCAATTTAAAGTTCTCAGGCTAGTGTTGGGTCCCTCCATAATCATATCTCCCACCCTGTTCCCGACCCTTGGACTCCTTACTAGGTCTCCAAACACAACACAGGAAGACAAGAGCTTAGGCAGACATTAAAATAAAGAAATGTGACTTTAGAAAAAAAACAGGTAGAAGGAAAGAGAACAAAATGAAAAGTAATGAACAAAAATGAACATTTGTTTGTTTGTTTGTTTGTTTGCTTTTCACCAGTCTTTCCCATGTTCTCACCTAAAAATTAGATTCAAAATAAATTAAAAATGCACCATCACTTCCATTTCTGAATCAAAATGGAGTATACCACTTATCTCTATTCCTCCTCACAAAGGGCAACTAAAAACTCTAGAAATTATATATAAGAGGACTCTGAAAGGTGGAGAAAAGGGGGCAGACCAGCTAAAGATCTCAGGACCCAAGGAACAACACAGCTGGGTTTTTTTGCCTAATGTATCCTAGACTGAAGTTGCCAAACTGTAAATGTCAACAGGAAAAGGCAATAAAAACCTCAAGAAAACCCTGCTTTCTCTCTAGGAGGAAGGAACAGGAAAGGGGCAACCTAGCAAGACTGAAAACATTCAGGATAACTGCTCTATTCTAGTCAAACACCACTGAAAAACTTGCAGCTCCATGCCTATCCCATTAACAAACACCATATGGGAAGACTTGACTTCCACCCTCACCCCCAGCTGTGACAATGTACCTTTCCTTCATCCTCCTCTAGAATGGTGGCTTAGTAAGGAGCCATAATTTTTATGCCATGATGTCAGTAAAAGAACAGTAATGAAGTGGCTCTCCCTCTCAGCCAGTTGGAGTCAGTAGAGGTGTAGTGGGGAACTTGAACTTCCTTTCCAACCCAGCAGTAAAGGTACACACACCCCACCCCCAACCCCTGTCAATGGAGGCAAATTGGGAAACCAGGACTTCTACTCCCACCTGTCAGTAACAAGGTGGCATCTCCCTTAGCCCACCAGAGCAGTGTCAGAAAGTTAAAACAGAAGATTTAATTAAGATCCAGGGCTCATAACATAACACTCAGAATGTCTAAGATGCAATCAAAAATCACTTGACAAACCTAAAACCAGGGAAATCTCAACTTGAATAAGAAAAGCAGCAGACACCAACACCAATATGACAGAGATGTTGGGATTGTCTAATAAGGATTTTAAATCAGCCATCATAAAAATGCTTCAACAAACAGTTTGAACATACTTGAAACAAATATAAAAATAGTCTCAGCAGATAAATATAAAATATAAAAAAATGAATAGAAGACATAAAGAAGAACCAAACAGAAATTTTAGAACTGAAAATACAATAAAAATTTTAAATCAGTGGAGGAGCCTCAATAAAAGAATGAAAAAGATAGAGAAAAGGATCAGGGTACTTGATTAGAAGATAAGTAGAACAATAGGAATTACCAAACCTGAACAACATAGCAAGAACAGACTAAAAAAATAAAAACAGAACCTAAGGCTATAACAAAAGAGTATTTCATCAGAGTCTCAGACGGAGAGGAAAAATGTGAGGCTAAACAAGAATTCAAAGAAATAGGGCTGAAAATTTTCCAAAGTTGGCAAAAGACATAAACCTACAGATTCAAAAATTGGAGAGAACTGCAAATAGGATAAGCTCAAAGAGATCTATGCCAAGACACATCATAACCAAACTTCTGAAAACTGAAGATAATGAAAAAATTTTGAAAACAGTGAGAGTAAAACAATAGCTCACCTGCAGGGGGAAAAAAAAAAAAGATTTTAATGACATCAGATTTCTGATCAGAAATCCCAGAGACTAGAAGAAAGTACCACATTTTCAAGTGCTGAAAGAAAAGAGTGGTCAATCGAGAATTCTATATTCAACAAAAATATCCCTCAGGAATTAAGGAAATCAAGCCATTCTCAGACAAAGGAAAGTAAGTGAATTTGCAAAGATACTCTAAAATAAAGCCTACAGAAATATTTCAAAATGAACAAATGACAAAAGAAGGAATCTTGGAACACCCAGAAGAAAGAAAGAAAGAAAGAAAGAAAGAACGACAGAAAAAGTAAAAATCTTACTAAATACAAAGATTTTCCTTCTCTTTTTGAGTTTCTAACTTATGTTTGACAGTTGTCACAAAAATTATAACATTGTCTGACTTGGTTCTCAAAGTATGTAAAAGAGATATTTAAGACAATTGCATCATAAATGGGAGCAGGTAAAGGAACTTAAAAGCAATAAGGTTTCTACATTTCACCTGAACTAGTAAAGTGATAACACTAGTAGACTGTGATAAGTTATATAGGTATAGTGGTGATGGAATCGTGCTCAAGTATTTTGATTGTAGTAGTGGTTGCATGAATCTACATGTGTGATAAAATGACATACACATACGGTACCAATGTCAAATTTCTTGCTATTGCACTGTAGCTATATATTATAAAATGTATCCATTGGGGGAAGTGGATAAAGGTACACAGAAGTGCTCTGTATTATTTTTGTGAATCCATAATTATGTCAAAATTAAACGTTTTTATTTTTAAAAAACCACTATTTCGACCCTGCTTATGTTGATTACTTTCTGAAATTATAAACTTTTTATTAAAAACACACAAAAGTTACCTGTGGAGGCGACAAGGGCTGAGAAACTGAGGGATAGATGTAGGAAGTAGACTGACTTTTCACTGTACAATTTTTATGTATTTTAAATTTATATCATATTACACGGATTGTCTATTTTAAATAAATAGAATAATTTAATAAAAATTTGCATTGTAATCTCAGAAGTTCACTCAGCTAGAGAGAGCAACTATTTCTTTCCCTGTAGTCTTCACTTGCTCCAAAGGGGCCATGTGAATGTCTGTAGGAATACTAGGTGCCCTCATGTGTCCAATCACTGCTTAGAACACTGGGACAGTGAACCTCAAATCTTTAAGTTCATAAAGAGCACCTGGGTAGTTTGGTAAAAATGCAGGTCCCAAGTCTGCAGATTCTAATTCTATGGGTCTCATGGGACCTAGGCATCTGCATTTTAACAAGTGCCTCATATGAATGAGCTTACATCGCTGCCCCAGAAAGCTCACAAATCCATGGAAGAGATGGACTGATTTGCAATCAGAGTGAATGTGATTAGAACCCTGTAGGAGACACCAATGTGGGCCAAGGGCCACAATAGGGAAAGTGAATGTTCAGCCTAGGTATGTGGCATCTTGAAAGGTATGTAAGTTTTAGTCCCTCCAACAGACGGGGCAAGTGTAAGGAAGGTTATGAGAATAAGGAAGTACAAATATTTTAATTGGGACAAATAGCTCAGGGTGATCAGAATGTAGAGGTGGTAACTGGCATACAAATAATATGATCTGTTGACTTCATTTTTGTTTATAATAGTATAAAATAATCATAATAAGCTGACCTAAATCTCCAACCACAAGGGAATAATTTCTGATATGGTAATGGCTAAGTAAATTATGGTACCTCCACTCCCTAGAATATTAGAATATTATGGGCAGCAAGGAAAGACTGTTGGAGAAAGTATGGATGTTATAGTAAGATAGTGATTCTGTTACTCACTAGCCAGGTAAACTAAAACAAATTATTATATTTCAACTCTGTCAACCTAATTTTCCTTATCTGCGAAATAGGAATATATTAACACTCCTTTGCAGAGTGGTTGTGCGGTTTAAATGAGATAGCCTTTGTAAAGGGCCTAGCATATTCAATAAACATTATATATTATCATTGCTGTTGTTTTTGGTAAAAAAGATTTTGAAAGCCATATTACAATATGAAAAACTGCATATAAAAAATGCTAAGTGAAAAAAAACAGGCTAGAAAATTGTTTAGGTGGCCCAAGCTTCCTAAATGGGTTTTATAAGAGTCCTGAATAGTGACACAGTGCCACTGACAGTCCAAATTTATTTGACCCTTACCATGTCTACTGCTACAAGATTCTAGGCCCCTGCAAAGACTCTTACGTATTTCTGAAGGTCCCCTGTTGGGTCTTAGAAGTAGTATAATGAGCATCCATGTAGCATCATACCTTTTCCTCCTTAGCCCCATCAGCAGGTAGTCTCTCCACCAAACAGCAAGCTCTTACAGTCCACCCTACTCCTTCTCTAGAATACCGAGGCCCTTACTGCTTCAGAGGATATATTCACAGGCCCCTTAGAGGTGCC